AGTTAGATGGAGATTTCTGTCAGGTGCAAAACAGAAATTGTTGTTCTTTTTCACAACAACCTTGTTGTTGTGCACAAGGACCTATTTCTTAGTTTAAATTTTATTCATAAAAGAGTGTTGGTATTCCCCGCAACAGCCAATCACAGGAAGGTATTTCTGGAAGCTCGGCCTCCTTATGGACTCAGCACATCGCTCTAGCTCATGGCTCTGTTTCATCTCTTGTATATACAAACTATGACTTTTTTCGATTACTGTTATAATTAATAATATGAGATATAAAAGTTTTTACACAAAATGGCTAAATTCTGCCATTAAATGGACTTTGTCTGGTATACATACAAACATACACCAATTTATTACCATTCATCCATTATTAATTTCAAATGTAATGTATACTGTCTAGTTTTTTCCTCTCGCCATTACTTGGTGCAATATTTGAAAGTTGTCTATTTATTTATCGATCTATCTATTATCTTGTATTTATATTTACAAGTTTCTGTGCTTGGAAGAAAACTCTGCATTGAATTGGGACTAATTTATTAAATAATATTATTTAGTATTAATTAATATTTACAATTATTATTAATTACAATTATTTATAGCTTAGTTACTTTCATGTAACTCGCAATCGTACATTCTTAACATTAATAGCCCAAATTAGCACATCTTGCTTTTAAATTAGCCCAAAAAGTAGCAAGTAGCGAAATTAAAAATTTGGGAGCGCGGGGCTCTCAAAAGTAGCCCAATTCGCTACTTGTAGCCCAATCTGGCAACACTGGTAAATTGCTGTGGACAAATGATAATAAAACTGATGACTGTTAATGACCACAATAAAAGATAACTTAGTTAACAAGTTCAAGTTCAAGTATGTTTATTGAGATAAGCAATAAATACATCTCAAAGGGATAGAGTAGCTTAGGCTATTTCTACCCCCCTCTACTTCACTAACTACTACTACTTAGTTAACAGCAATTATCTGCCTCTGGTAACAAGCCTAATCAATGTACTGATTGTTAACAACTGCTTAAGAACGTGACGAGTAGGACATGCGTCACACAACCATAAATATTGCAAGAGCAGTAAGTGGGTAATATGAGCCTAATAAAGATGCCAGCGGGAAGAATTACATAGCCTAGTATTATAGAACAGAGCGCCCACGTTAAGTTATGCAACACGTTACAGTTAGGAGTGCTTAACGTGAGAGCTTAAATAAATAAGTAAATTTATTTATTTATGTATATATACAAGAAGTTACATTGGGTTTATGAGAGTACATAGCATGATGTGTTTACATTCTTATAAAGCCACTAGTACGCACAGCGTTTCGGGTAGAAATGAATAAGAAATAAATGACGTGATGCAATACGCTAGAGGTAGGAGTGCTTAACACTTTCACGTGCTAACACGTGAGGGCTTAAATGACGTGATGCAGCACTCTAGAACTACTAGTGCTTAACGTGAGGGCTTAAATGACGTGATGCAGCACTCTAGAGCTACTAAAGCTTAACGTGAGGGCTTAAATGAGGTGATGCAACACAGCCAACCCGCACATGTGTACGTGCTGCAGGTGTGGGGGGGTCCTGGGTGACCCCCAGCGCCATTCAAAAACATTTCGTTCAAGTTTAAGTAGGTTTATCGAGACAAGAAAAAATACATTTCAAAGGGATAGAGTAGCTTAGGCTATTTCTACCCTCCTTTATCTCAAGTCCCTCAAGGGGCGCACAAATTCAGTGAGTACAAATACACAAATCCGTCGTAGGTGTTTAGGAGAAGGAGAGTTAGGGGAGGATAGTTATGAATATGCTGACCCTCACATTACACGAGGGCTGTTGCTGCTGACCCCTGCATGTTCCCCCGCCAGCAAAGATGTTTTCAAATTGATAATATTCTTATTAGCAACATTCCGAAGTTCAACAACCTATGTCATCTTAATGCCTTTTATTTCTTGCATTGTTGAAATATAAACAAATGTAATTCTAGAATATCTAGTGTTGAGTCAGTGATCTGACAATAACAAAACTCCAAATTTTAACATATTTTATCATATCATAGTACTAGTAGTAGTAGTAATATCAGTAGTAGTAGTACTAGTAGTAGTAGTAATATCAGTAGTAGTAGTACTAGTAGTAGTAGTAATATCAATAGTAGTAGTACTCTTAGCACAACACCATAGTCTCAAGAAACTTGAACTTGGAGTGATCTATCCAGGGCGCAAAGCCAGGGTAGGTTGATACGATCACATCTTAAATCCTGAACCTTTCCCAGTGAAATATAGTACTATTACTTACCTATTCATTATCCCTATAATGAATAGGGATAATGAGATTACCTATTCATTATCCCTATAATGAATAGGTCTTCCACCACTGGTCCTGGTGGAAGGCTGTGATCTTACTGACACGTGTGGGGTGTCCTTACTATGCAATATTTTTGTCCTCAGAAGGGATGTTGGGGGAATACCTTGGAGGACAAGATGAAGTCCACCAGCAGTGCCAGCACGGGCGGTCTTGAACATCAACGGCAGGGTAGAAGTGTCTTATGTGAAAGTGACACATATGGTGTTATCTATACTGTATTTATGTAACAGGTGTACATAAGATTGAAGTACATGTGGTGTACCAGAACCCCATCAACCAGGTATAGTTACAAGACGTACTATCTGAACAGGAGGATGGGTTGACATCAGTTGATCGACAGTTGAGAGGCGGGACCAAAGAGCCGAAGCTCAACCCCCGCAAGCACAATTAGGTGAGTACGCATGTGTGAGAGCGTACCCCCCACCCCGTACACTCCCCCCCCCTCATCCCTTCACACCAATATTTCTTTCCTTGACTCATTGAGGCAAAATTGTAATTAATTTGATCAATAAAGATGTTAATAATAATAATGACTCATCGAGGATTCGAACTCAGACCTGAAAAATGGTCCCCAATTTGCATATATATACTTGAGAGCCCAACACCAAACATGGCCCAAGGACACAATAAGGTAAAACAGAAGCAGTAAACATTGTTAACGAATGTATTTGAAGACAAAGAACCAGTCAGTGCGCAGTAGTGTGAATATTTAACACATTTGGCGCTTGTCACGCTCCCGTCAGATAATTACAGGGTTTAACGTGTTGTGCACATGTACAAATCTCAATGATATATGACCCAAATTGTTGTACTGTGCTTCACTATCTTTCACGGTTTATTTTGTTTAATACCAATGATCCCGACAGGGCATGCGGCCGGCCGCCCTCAGGTAGCCTATGCTCATGGACAAATATAAACACGGAATTCATTTACATCTGTCTTAGGGATTTTGTATACTGCTCCTATTGTTACAATAACACAAAATGTAAAATAGGAAAAATGATATTATCCGGAGGTGTCCCTGACTGCAATAACTATTGAAAATTTTAACTTTTGATATTTGTAGATTGTTGAGGCTGCATATTTCTAGTTTCGTCCACACTTGTGAATTCCTGTGCAATTGAGTATTTTGAGTCTTGTAATTTAGACATAAATGTATAGCAACCTAACAACTGGCACCACCGTTGGGTTCCTATGCTGCTGTTATGTTTTTTTCATAACGAGAGGCAAAAACCTTTGAATCAAAGTTTTGATTTACCAGATATATAATTCAAACATTTGCATTCCAAAGAACAGTTAAAGTTTTCCGTGTCGATAAACAGTATTTATAAGAGATTATTAAGAAGATAGTGCTACACAGCATGACATGCTTTTGTGATCTGTCATAATTATTTTACAGGCACTGCTACAGTAGCCGCCATGCTCAAAACGTTATATTTATGTCCTGGCAACGTAAGCGTCACGAAGCTGACGACAGCTTTGACCAACTTTGACCAATTGTATGTACTAGCTCTATCTATATATCAATCCATTAATGTAACATCACTTGTATGTATGTACCTTACCTGAATAAACATATTTATTTATTTATTTATTTTAACTGGTGCATTTTCCAATAACAGTCTTTACCAGGAAGGGAGGTCTAGTTCTTTATGCTCCGCCTACTAGCGGGGCATAAAGAACCCTTTCGAATGTCATCAGTTGTGAGTCATGTGTAAATTACAGCCCGTCCTCCAAATAAAGTCCCAAAAGTGATTCTATTCACCCGCCAAACCCCCTCTTTATGAATGAAAAACGGTCTACACACAACCCATCCTCGACGTACTCAAGTCCATTATATCCAGCGGTCGACCCCACAGATGCATTCATAAATTTGCACATGTGTTCATTCAAAATGGGAATATTCTCAAATATAAATTTATATTAGCATATTGTGCATATATAGGCATAGGTTAGGTTAGGTGTTTAGGATCTGTTGGCGATTATTTGTATTTGTAATACGTGGGTGAAGCATATAGCAGTCCGTCCTCCAAACAAAGACTCAAAAGTGATTCCATGCACCCGCCAAACCCCCTGTTTATGAACGAAAAATGGTTTACACACAACTCAACTGATTTCGTTCGAACATTTCCGGAAAAGTGCTTCACTACCAAATTTTGTTCGAAACACAACGCTGTAAATGCTACACCCAGACATTTGCTAGGAGATAATACTATACACACTATAATACTATACATACATTAGTATTAGAGTGTGTATAGTATTATAGTGTGTATAGTATTATAGTGTGTATAGTATTATAGTGTGTATAGTATTGTCTATAGTATAGTATGCATACACACTATAATACTATACACACTATAGTATTATAGTGTGTATAGTATTGGTATTCTTAAGTACACCAAGTAGGCGGGACTCTAGCTCTTGGCTCCGGTGCGCGCAATATTTGGCCTACACCAACGAGAACGAAAAACGGAAATCTTCTTACCACTAATAATCCATTCTAGCATTTATATTTTTGACACCTTTGGTTAATTAAAATATATAGTTAGTTAATGCATACTTCAAGACGTAAAAAAACCATAATAATTACTTCAAATGAAGTTCTAATGACATTGTTCTCTCCACTTGGAGTTTCCTTCATGCTCTTTGTTGATATCCGAATCATATGATCGAGGAGAAATGGCTGCTGAAATCAAGCCAATTCGCAGTTCCCACCCCACTAAGCCCGTCAGCACTGACAGGCCGGTGCTGCTGTTCAAGATAGAGGGCAGCGGGGATGATGTAAACGCTGCAGTGCTGTTAAATGGCGGGTCTGCTGTCATCTCTGTCAGTGATGACAAGTAGGTGGCGGCCTGGCACAGTCAGGTCGTATACTCTAGTGTTTCATCAAAGCTCATTATCTAATTGTTGTGAAAATTTATATATCGGTAGACTGGGGTGAGGTAGTGTATGTTAGGTAGGGTGTAAATCCTTTGGTGACTTTTATGGTAAGAATTTGCCCGTTACCCGCCCCGATGACTTGCATGGTACAGTCATCTTTTTGTTCATTGTATGACGCACCTGTAATTGTCTTCTACTTTTCATTACCTGATTTATTAGCGTCAAATGTGTTTTAAATGCTGATGATTGAGTTAGGATAACTGTACAATGTAAACAGCAATTATTTTAGTACTTAATGGAGTTATTTACAGAATATTTGTTCAAAACCTGACTGTAGGTTAGAGTGTATAGGCAGAAAGGTTGACAAGATCACTCTTATAACATAACCACCGGGTTAGCAGCGACAGCTGGCATAATTAACTGGTTTTGGTGACACAAATTTGTGATTCATTTAATTTCTCCCAACACAAATTGGTGACACTGTCAAGGTAAATTTACCTAATGTTTTATGGCAGTGAAACACATACTTTGTCTAAATGAACAACAGGTTGTGGTGATGATGAGTTTTGTTGGAGACAGGCAGCCTGTTTATATATATACTTCAGCTTGTATTGAGGTTCCCACTGACCCTCCAAATTCCAAATGGTGTGTGTTCAGCTACAAGGATAGATTGACAAACATTTCAGCCTTCTGGCCTGTCTATCAGACAAATGGGTTTTTGTTTTTAGGACTAATACACAAAAGTAGATGTCATTTAGTTTGTCTTGGTTTTTCTTATTTTAAATGACTTTATTTTCTCTAAAACTATTTTGACAAAACATCATCTCTAAGATTAGGCTGCTGCTTCCTTGACCAAATAATCTACCATTCAAATTGTGCTTGTTTTATTGTCTTCTTAGTTTTGCCTTAAATATTTATTTTGTATTAATGAGAACATGATCAGTCTGAAAAGTGCTGCTGTATCATGGGATTTATGATAAAAAGTAATTACTATGTTAGTAAGGAGTAAGTCGGGTTACCTCAAGAACCACTGCGGTGCCGCCAGCCAGGTGGGACCATCATTCTCTAGTACTCTACATGGCAGAAAGTGGTTACAGTTTTACTAAATTTTTGTATCCTGATCTGGTTATCTTTGATCTCCTAAAATAATACATTTGTGACCTTTCGATGTTTTAAGTTTACAGTATTCTAAAATAAAATTAGAAATGAGCTCGTCTAAAATCTAAAATGAACTTGCTGTGCAGGAAACTTAGTAGGGCCAAGGCACCATAGCTGTTTATCTTAGACTTGCACCTGATGTATTAAAAATTCTTGATGTTCTATTTCAGTGTTATATTTGCTCATGAAGCTGTGCATAGAGGTGGCTTCAAACTGTCTCTCAACTGACTGTATTAGGAATAGCATTAGGATCAGGACCAAGCTTTAGGGAACTTGGCTTGCTATATCTCCTCTATCCAGTTTAAGGTTTTAAGGTATAGTAGCTTGTTTCTCCATCTTATGCACTTGCCTTGTGTGAGGATCCATATCATAGTTTTGTCCTAAACCTATGAAGTTTATTAGACTATAATTTTTTCCTCTAAAAGTATGTTGTCTCTGTTACAGATGTAATTCTCTCTAAATGTGTTGGTGAGTAAGGAGCACTTTGTTAGAAAATTTGTCATACAGAAGTTAAAATTGACCTTTATCTTCAGATCTGTTCGTATTTGGCAACGTCGAGACTCTGGACAGTACTGGCCAAGTGTCTGTCATTTCCTTCCGTCTATACCCAGCTGTCTTCACTACATACCTGATACGAAGCATCTGTTCCTGGGTCTTGATAATGGTACAGTTGTAGTAAGTATGTCTCGTAGTTCTTCTAACTAATAGGATTTGGGGAAAGTGTAAAATAACAATGGTATCAGTGTAGCCTGGTATACGTACTGTACACAGTAGTATATTTTGGAAGTTCTTTCTTGTAGATATGTTGTATTGCACATGGCAGAAAGGTTTAGACAAAGGGTTCTTGCATGAATCTTTATATTTTGTATGTTCTTCACTTGGAAAGGAAATTGAAAAATTAACTTTTCAATGTTCATTTTACAATTTAATTCGACTTGATGTGATACTAAAGGATGCACTTATTTGAGGCGCTCTTCAATATCTTCCAAGATAAGCAAAGGTGGCAGTATACTTCGTGTAGGATAAGGTGAGGCGGTACCTAGTTGAGGAGACTGGGCAGTCTTGTCCTGTCTTCTCAATGGTCAGCTAGAGCTGTAGGTATGGTATGATCTGGGAGGTCTATCTTGGCCTTGTAGATGGTAGAACATACCTAAGTGTAAGCTGGCTGTTGACAATTGGATGTGTGATATGTAATGTAGGCAATATTAAATCTTAATTTTTTTTTTTTTTTATCCCTGACAGTGGGAAGCCATATGCCATTTCAAGTTTTTGTAATTGGCTTGCATGAAGGAACTGGAGTGAATGGAAAGAATCAAGTTGTCTCAAAAAGTTCTCATGTACCATATTCGAACTACGATTCTGTAATACACTATCAAATTGTCTGGAAGATTTTTTGAGAGTAAAAGTAACATAATTTTTATTTTTAAAATACAGTACTGTAGTTGTGATTTAATTAAGCTTTGAAATTAGTTAAAAAATTACAGCTAATGCAAACATGAATTTTGTTTTTCAAGGAAAAAATAAGTTACTGTAATTAAAATACTTGTCATTTCTACTACCAGGAATTTGCAGTTGCCGAAGACTACAACAGCATCAGCCAGGTTCGAGAGTACTTAAGTCATCAGAGTAGAGTTACAGATGTTATCTTCTGTCCAGCATCTGAATGGATCTTGTCTGTAGCTCGAGACAAGTTCTTTGTGTATCACTGCACAGAGAGTGGCCGCAGACTAGGAGGCCACCAGTGCTCCGGCTGGTGCACAGCCTTGCAGTATGATGCTAAGAGTAAACACATATTTGTGGGAGACTACAGTGGGCAAATCACAATGCTTAAGCTCGAGGAAACGGGACCTCAAGTGATAACAGTACTTAAGGTATGTAGCGCAGTGCATTTTGTTTATTGGCTAAAGGTTTGCAAGTTAAGATAGTATTCTGGACACTGTGAACATACAGTGTGTTGCTACTAACACTGGCCTGTATTTAACAAGAGCTGTGTACTATATAAAGAAGAAACAAGCATGGAGAGAGCTTGATTGTCTTAAGGTGCAGATAATGAAGATATGTTGGGATAAAGTGAGCGAGTAACATGAGGCTGTGAAACAACTATTGCTATTGGCAAAGGCTAGCACAAAGAAACTGGAGATGGGGGTGTTGGTGTTACTTAGTCAGAGTTGCAGCTATGTGCAGTGATGCATGCAAATGCTTCCACTTAACCAAGTAAGATGCGAGCAAGGCGTTAAAGATCCAGGGTGCACTTCGTCAAGTTAAGGGTCCTACTGTGTGGAGATCCTTATTAGTCAGCTTCACCTAAAACTGAAATCATTTGGTTGTGGAAGTCCTCCAAAGCTAAGGAATGCAATATAAGGGTCCTTAATAGGGTCCATCAACATCAAATTTATTTGAGTAGGGCCTAAATAGTATGAAGCTTAGCACAGGTCACTTGGGATAGTAATTCAAGTAGATTAGTGTGGCAGTGGTGAGTAAGGATCAACATAAACATCAAATGTAAAAATACATAAGTTTATTCAGAGAACTTAATTGCTAATTCATTAGGAGGCACTTATTGACTGGTGTTATGCAAAGCTAATATTGCATCTGAGAGAGACTTGCTGCCTCGCTGACCAATAGTGCGGCAACAATCCTGCCTTAACATTCGTTAACACCATTCTCAAGAGACTGTTTATCCCAACACTGCGTCACATTGTCACATTAAATAAATAAATTCCAGTCGGTAATACTTTTATATTGACAGTTAAGAAAAGATATCTTGACTTTGCCTGTACAGCAGTATTAATGTAGTTTGGTCGTCTTAAACATACAGTATGCATTTTACAAGTCTGAATCTTTCTTACAGGGCCATAATGGATCCATAAGGTCTCTTGCCTGGGACATAGACCGTCAGCTTTTATTCTCTGGTTCTTTTGATCAGTCCGTTATTGTGTGGGACATTGGTGGTGGAAAAGGAACAGCTTTTGAACTTCAAGGTCACACGTAAGGTCATCTTAATTGTTTTAATTTTTTTTTTTTTACCATGCATCTTGGTACTATACCCTTCTGCTTAAGTTACTGCACTGCCAATTTATAGTAATTGTTGATTATAGATCTGGTCATAATCCTCAGTTTTATGAAAAATCAATTTTAATTATTTTACTTGTCTGATCAGTACATTTTGTTAATAAGAAATTATTTATGAGTTAAGAATTTTGTCATCTGACAAAAATATTTACACTAATAGCTAACTTACTGATATTTAGGCACATCCTGAATTTGCAAATGGCATTACATTATATTTAAATTAAAACATGTGCAGTAGACATATTTTTGTCTTTATGGTTTCCAATCACTTGCAGTTTACTTACCTTTCACATTCTGGCTTCCATTCCTTTGTTACTACTGGAGTTGAGGACTGATGATTGGCCGATAATTAAGGTGCTTACAGTGTCGGGTCAAGAATTGTGTGATGTGTTTTCCAGCATATACAGTGTGTGTTTTTGATCCACCACCAACCAAATAATATTGTACTTGCATAAATGAAATCACATGTTTTCCTATACAAAACCACTTGAAAATCACTTTCAATAAATGTACTACGAAAAGTACAGTACAGTACAGTATCTTTTTCAAATTCAGTGCATATTATATGCAGGTCAGGTAATTATATGGAGAAAGTACTAAGCCACTATATCTACAGCCTGTGGTCAGGGATTAAACACCGACTTGCAAGAAGAGAGATTGTCACTCTACTGTCCAGTCCAAGGAGTTGGACTGGACTGGTTGTATACACGAGTAAATAGTGATTTAAAAATTTTCTTGAGATACGTTAAGCATGGGATTAGGTTTTGAGGTTCTTGTGTACATGCATTCCTGTTTGCTCTCTCACTCGATTAACTTGGTATGTATGCATTTTTCATTTTTAGAAGCAAGGTTTCTGCACTTGTGTATGGTTCAAGAAGTCATCAACTGATCTCGGGTGGGGAGGATGCCACCATCGTCTTCTGGGACATGAAGGCCAGCAGACAGGAGGTAAGGTGGCTTTGGCATTAAATAAAAAGTTTTGGTATGTTTTTGCTGATTTTAAGTTTTTAGCGCCAAATTATAGTCAAACAAATTCACTGGCTCAGCCCTGTGGACATCCTGTGTTACATACTATTGCTACCAAATATTATGGTCATACTAACAAAATGGACTCTGACTTTTAGCATGCAACTTCCTGGTATACAGTACAGTGCTGAGGTACATTCTAGGAGGAGTCTACTGCAGTGATAAATGAGCCTAGTGTTAAAATGTAATTTGCTGTTATTTGCTTTGGTGGTAGAGTATACAGTATTCGACCTTCTCTTCCTATTCTAGTCTTCTTCTATTGCTCGGGAATAACTCCTCATTCAATGAAGGTGGGAAATGTTGATAACTAACTCTTGCATGGGTGCATGCATTAAAGATTATACCCCCCCTATAGAAATTACTGTTTGTTTTTTTCTTTCATTCAGACACCAGAATGGTTACAAGCAGATTCTTGCCAATACTGTGAGCGGCCGTTCTTCTGGAACATTCGTGCCATGATGGACCAGAAGCAGATAGGTCTACGTCAACATCACTGCAGGTGGGGAAATGTTTTTTTTTTTATATATTGATTGAAGTATAATCTTAAGTTTCTATACTGAGCTTCTTTAAAAACAAAATGTCAAGATTTTTATTGCCATGTCTGAAAGTAAAGGAAGTTGCCCACTTACTAGGAGGCATTTGTGATTTGGAACCAAATTTGTCCATAGGTGCAATGATGTAAATGGGAGGAAGCAATCATAAATCACCAAAAGGCAGCATGTGAAACCCATATTCCTAGGACAGCTATTATAAGAAACACATGTTACTCACCTTTGATGATGAAGTTACCATGCTTGTCAGAGGTGGCAATTTTTAAGAGTGAAGAGATCTAATTAGTGTAGAGTACTAGAAAAAATTAGTAGTGGAAGGTGATAAAGTATGAGCAACAGAGATTGGTAGGTCATCTTGAGCATTATTGGGTGTTTCTGGGCCGTGTAACCAAGTGTTCCCGGACCATGTGACAGGGTTTTCTGGCTGTGTGATGGTTTGAGCCATGTGACAGGAGAGGGAAGGAGGGAGTGGTTTGAGATCCATATGATGGGGGAAGGGGGGGAAGTTCTGAGCTGTGTGAGGGGGGAAATGGGGGTTTTGGGGGCTGTGTGACGAGGTGGGGGGTTGGAGTGTTTCGGGGCCTTGTGACGGGAAGGGAGTTTCGGGCAGTGTGATGGGGTGTTTGTGTATAGTTGATCCTAACTCTAATCAGACTTATGTACAAGGTTCAGATATCAGTGACCACAATGCTAATTATGATGATCACAGCAGGAGGAAGATATTCACAGCCGAGGTTTGTGAATCTATGCACTGTGTAACGTGACCTTGTGTTCCTTTAGGAATAATCTTGTGGAAAATTATCCATATTCATGATTTAGGGACTGGAATCTGATAATAGCAGTGTTCATGGTAATAATAGCGATGTGTGTAACACATTTCTGGGCATTTTGCTCCATCTGGTGAAGTCGTCTGCTTGAGTCAGGTGGTCATAACGTGTAGCTCTCTACTGTGCACAGATTTCCTTATTGCATACACCAGAATTACTTAGTGGTTCGTTATGGTTTATAAAAATATGGATGTATATAACGTGTATATACTGTACTGTAGTATAATAACAGAAAAACCACTGTTTTATTGATCTAAGAATACAGTATAATGCTGTATAATATACGTGCCGATAGATATGAGCACCATATTCTTTAGCATATCAATGTTCCACACATTTAATTATTTAAAGCCTTGAAATTACTCGCTATTGAACAATATTACTGCAAAAAAACTATATATAAAACTATTCAAAGACATTGAAATAATTGGATAAAAATGTATTTGTGGCAGCCCCTGCCTCACTGCTGGGCTGGAGCAGACGCAGCTGGCCTGTACTCTCATCAGCCCCTGAATAGTCTTGGACTTCCTTGTTCTATCATGGCCAAGTATGCCACTTTTTTTTTTTTTTCCTGTGATCTCAGAATGCATATAGTACACTGAATAGGAAGAAAAAATTGGAATGTTTGTTTTTCTGCACACTGGCACTTGTCATATTTAATGGCAACATAGCAGAGTGATTAAAGATAAATAGGCTGTCATTAGTTTGAAAATAGGATTGTAGATTTATGATACTGTAACAGGAACAGCAAATTTGAGTGGGAGCAGTTTGATATAAATAGCTGCCTCACATGGGTCAATGGTTCTTTTACATACAGTATTCCTTAATTCTTGGGTTCTTAAGTTAAATAAGGAGAAACATACGAGGTAAATAAACAATGTGTAGCTTTGCCAATTAACAATGTGTTAAGACTAACATTGGGGCAACAGGACTTGCAAATTTATGATTATTCAAATTTTAATTTAAGGCCCATTCTTTAGGATTTTTTCTGCCCTACTTTACAGTACAAGAAAAGGCAGCAAAATATCATTGGTTTATTTTTTGCAGACTTTTGACTTTCCTCTTTTGGCGCTGCAGGTCAAAGCAAATAAAGTTAAAAGCATTCATCTTGTCTTGTTTCTATTATAAGAAAAGTATTTAGCCTGTGCTTATACTAATGTTAACAAATAAATATTTTACTTGGACTAATGTGCTAAGCAGTGTGCTTTGAAAGTACTGTACAGTAATTTATTTGCAGGAAATGTGGTAAGGCCGTGTGTGATAGTTGCAGCAGCAAGAGGTCCTGCATCCCAATTATGGGCTTTGAATTTGATGTTCGAGTTTGTGATGATTGTCATTCAACCATATCCGATCAAGAGTAAGTGTCTCAAATTTTAGTTTAAATGTGTATTGACATAGCCACTAACACCCTGCAAGTCTCTGGGTCAATGTTTATGATAGCTGCTATTTGAGGGTTATATACATGACCTAGCACAGCTTTGTAATAAATACAGCTTCTTGTCTACATTGTACCAATACACTATGTAAATTATTTATTACTTTGCACTTGATTTTATACATGTCCTTAATACTTTTTATTACTAGACTGGCTGTTCCAAAGCCAGGTTTAATAGAGCGCATAAAGGGAATAAACATACTCCTGAACTCTCTTTATATTTTTGGTTCATCTGCTTTGTTTGCATTCATTTTTGTATTACTCTTTTTGTAGGGCACTCTTGAATTAAGAGCAGCAGTCTGGTGTCAGTTGTCCAGTCTGTCCTAACATGTGATGAACTGCAATGTTTACACTGTTGACAATATCATTTTGGTGCTTTAGTAACTTTAAAGGCATCACAATATTGATGCTTTCTTGGACTAATGAGACCCACATTAGGTCTAATGAGACCTTATAAGATGAGGTAGATTAGGTATGTTGCTTAGGTTCATAATGTTTTGGTTAGGTGTAATGCTTAGGCTTGTACTATTATGGTTAAGCAAAACCATTATAAATATGACCCTAGTCAAATTGTGAGAATGAGTCAAGCTGTGTAGACTATTCTCTCTCCTTCCCTCCCTCACCCACCTTCCCTTCCTTTTGATAGTGTGTGTGACGGAAAAGATCAGTAGTCGGTTGTAAGCATGACCTACAGTATTTGTATACTGTATGCAGTAGGGCTTATCATTGATCTTCTGATAGTAGTAGTAGGCATCCATCAGTCTCGGAAGACTATGGACTTGCGCACTGGCGTCGGCCTAGTCTGGAGTGGCCTCACATGGGCGCAAAGCCAGGGTAGGTTGATTCGGGGGAGAAGCTGTTACCCAGGCAGCAGGTCCCCCCCCCCCCCTCTCCACGGCGCTGAAAGTCTCCAATGGAAAGGCGCTGATCCTCTGATAATCATTTTGATTTTAATTTACAGTTTTAGACTTGAGATTTTGAAAGACATGGGATAATAATGAGAGGTGATTCAGTGTTTATAAAATAATCATGTATAATTCAAAATAAGTTTATACAAATTTGATACTTCGGTATTTACGACAGAAGAAATTAGAAAGATGGAGGCGCCCAATGATTTTTAATTAAATAAGAGGCAGCCACAGAATTAGCAATGGGTATATTGTATATATTATGTGTGGTATAAAATTATTGCTTAATTAAATACTAGTATGTCATTATTATCTTTAGGATATATTACACTAAAAGTTGGTAATCTGTTATTCTTTTCATGTACTGAATAGCATAAATGGAGAGAAGTAAGGAAATTTATTTGTTTTGGTAAAGCTAAGATAATTAAGGTGTAAATATTTACAATATAAATTTCTATACTGTGAATTTTATCTTTTAAGATACAGTACTGTAATACAGTATACATTTCAAATGACAGGCAGAGGGAGTTATCTTTCTCTGTTGATGTTTCAGTCGGTGTTCCCTTGCCAAGTTTCACGAGGTGAAGCACAACATCGTCAGCATGGACCTTGACGAGGAAGCTGGCTTGCTCCTTACTGTCGGTATGTGCGTGCTAACTCTTCACATCCTTTATAAGGGAGTTGGAATATTTTTTATATGGAATAGTATCAATGCTAAAATTTATTATGTACAATTTGTAAATAGAGCATCTTTTCTAAATGTCCCTCTAAATAGATCATCCCATCTAGATAATTTCCCTATAAATACTGTAGGACTTTAGAATTTATTTTTCTCCTAATTTACTGTACTGTATATATTTCTGTGCTTTGAAGTGAATGGGGTTCACTTGGCATATGAATATTCCCATTAAACAACAAAATTGTTATCTGATGAGCAAGATTGTGAATGTAATCTACATTTTTAGTTGCATTATTTGTTATATTTTGAATTATTTCTTATACGTACAGGCCAAGACCGCGTAATGAAAATCTGGGAAGTGTCAAGCTTGCTGAACTGATCCCACGAGGACTCTGCAACACTGTGGCACACACAGATCTTGCTTGCAGCTGATACCTGAAGGTAATCCTATTATAGCTAACAACTTAATGTTGGCAAGAGAGCATCAAGCCTGCTCAATTGATCACTCCAGGAAATTGCAATACTGTGGTGTCCACAATATGTGCAGTCAATCCTGCTGTAGCTAACAGTGGCATTGCATTTTCCGAGTTTAACTTTGACAATGAAGGGTTGAGCTCGCTGAATTGGTCACAAAAGGGAATCCCAAACTCGACACTGACATCTCCAAGGTCTGATGGTGACCAATCTATGAAGGTAACTTTGTGTGTTGCACTGCATTCCATAACATTACTTTGGTGATAATAGCATTGAAGAGGTATCAGTAGGCGGCCATATTTTAATAAGAGTGTAATGGTAAGCTTAGCTAATTTCCATGTTATTGAGATTGAGTGGCACTTGTACTATTCTTGTTTATTAAATTTCATTTTATTACTTAAATATATTTCCCAACCAATTAATTGGTCATTATCTTGATTAAAATTTGATTTTATATTTAGTTTAATAGTTAGTGCTGCATATAGTCTTATAATTCGGGGAGAATCTGCAAAATCTCCTCTGAATACCTTTTATTCTCTTCTCCGAGACTGGGTTCCACAATTTCACCAGATCTGAAGTATATAATTTGGTATATATTTTTAATCAAATTTGTTGGGATTAAGAGATAAGACTGAGATTGTTAATTTGACATGCTGTGTATATATAGATATATTGATTGCTCTTCAGCTGGTGTGTCTTCAGAATTTGACAGTTACTCTGAAATATTAATTTTGTAACTTTACTGATAATTTGGTGGCTATGCAGAGGTGTGCTGAAAATTGGCGAGTGTAATTTCAGCAGTAATGCCGTGATGGAAGGAGTATTGTAGTGTGTACTGACCAAAATGGTTCACAGTAGAATGTGTACAAACCATGCTGCTGCTTTATGCTGATGTTTGTTTACATGGATGGCAGTAGAGCTTGAGAGCTCTTGAATGACGGCTCGAGAACAGTTGACAAGTTGTCAGTGAATTGCTCTTAAAGACGTGGGTAAGAGAGAAAGTGGGGAGGGGGGGAGTGAGAAATGTTGGGGGGTCTTTAATCTCTTTCTTAGCCACGACACTTTTCCAAACTAGTCATATTTGTTTAATGAATACACAATCTTCCACAACCACCAGTACAATATCTACCACCAACAACCTGAACACATTCTGCCAGCCTGTACTGGTTATGCCAGCCTGCACTGTATCTGGAGAATGTACTAACCTGTGGCTATTTTTCATCATAATTCATTTTGTTGGGGATAGGAAGCCTGTGTATGTATGTGCTTTAGGCTTATATCAAGGTCTCTCCAATTGTCTCCCTCATGTCTAAACCACATCTAAGTATTGGTTATTGTTTATACTACTCCTGTACTGTGTAAAAATATTATAATGCTTGAAAATATAAATATGCATATGGTAATATTCTAAAATTGTTTGGACTTGTTTATTATTATTGTTTAAATATAATATTGCTATGTACAGGTATGTACTTTTTATCATTCCTGGGCTGCTTAATATGGTTGTCAGTGGTCATAATTGGAATAATTGTCAGATGGCCATTATTAATGATTAATTCTGGATGGAAAGTGAATTATTCTGGGTTTTATGCTTTGTTGGCGAAATACCGGTACAGTAATTGAAAATTGTCCGTGGGGTACGACAAGGTCTTGGCTACACTCGTAGGACTCCTAGTAATGTGGCTTTTAGTCTTTATGTGCAGCTGTTCTGTATTTATGATACTGCTCAAGTAGCCTAGGCAGCATACACATGTAAAATGTTGTTTTGAATAATGTGAATTATAAAAAAAAAAGAATTCGTTCAAATGACACCATGCTGCATTGGTATAATTAGTCTGAGAAACTGTAAATCTTATTGTTGATGTCACGTTCACATCTTGGCCTCCATACATCACCATCATTAACAGTTTCTTAAAAATATATACATTTATATTTTTGAAGTCTACTTTTGAAGTATGTAATTTCAATATTTTTTAAGGAATATAATGTACGGTATATGTAGATGTATGTAATAAATAAATGTGTGTGTGTATGCATGTGTAATTATATATATATATGTATATATATAAATAATATGCATACACACAGTGGGGCCTCGATTTACAGTGGTAATGCTGAATACAATTTTTTTTTTCTCTAACTACAATACAGTACATATGTTTATCTTACCTTTATGGGGGACTCTTGATGGAAGATGGTGAGGAGAGGGGAGGAAGAGAGGTGTTAGTGTTTGGAAGGAGACTCCCCTTCCATTATAACATCAGGTAGTGAGGACTTCTCTGGGGGTGTTATAATGGAAGGGAACTCCCCTTCCAAACACTAACACCTCTCTTCCTCCCCTCTCCTCACCATCTTCCATCAAGAGTCCTCCATAAAGGTAAGATAAACACATGTACTGTATTGTAATCTGAGGACTTCTCTGGGGGTACACACACTGGCACGTTTTGCCTGCATACCACTAGGACCTGCTTCTGGCTCTCTGCTTGATTTTCTCGCTAGAAATCGTTCCATTGAAGATTGTTTCGTTCCATTGAAGATTGTTTTTTCCTTTCTTTGCAACACTTGTCTGTAGTGAGGCATTACATTGTCCATTAAAAAGATCAAAGCAACGACCTGTTACAGCTTTATCTGGGATGCTCTCGGACGTAGGTTCGAACACTCGTCACGGCCCTTGTGAGTTTGTTTATCTAGGCGATTCTTTTCGGCAAAACTTTGCAGTTCTTCCCATACTGCACACATTTTCTTAATTAATTAGGAAGGGACATCCTCTAATGGTGCCGCTGCCTCCTCCTCATCTGAAGATTTTTTGTACTGCCAAGCTAGTTCAACAACATGAATATCATTTTCATATTTACGAATGATCTCTTGTTTTTTTTCCTCTATGGTTGTTCTTACATGTGTTTTCATATGTTGAACTTTACCACTGACTTTCTTGGGACCCATGGTGTGATTATTATATATCAGTTTTATGTACAAAAAGCAAAAAATCTCCTCAAAAATGTAATTTCTTATAAGCGTGATCGTCACTAAGCGGGCGGCTCTAGTAAACTGAGGCAGGTTGCCCCGCGTGACCAGGAACCATGCGCTTGGTTGACCCGAACATGTATCAACGAATATCGTTAGTAGAGTCGCATTTTTCGATCAAATTTACATTGTAACTCTAAATTATCGTAAGTTGAGGTGCCACTGTATACATCTATATATCTTTTTTTTCATATTTGCATTTTTCTTTAAAGGAAAGGCTGTCTGCAAATTTTTCATTAATTCGTCCATTGATCTCCACATCTTTAGCGAATCAAAATGTTTGCTGTAGGTTTATTGCTGGTTGACGTGAACACATGCTGATAACAATGTAGAGAAACAGATAAAACTAAGACTTACATATATTGATGATGATAAAGCTCTTAGGAGGTGAAATATTATCATATCTGAGATACACAGGGATAGTGCTTATGAATCTGGGAATGGGGAGGCCGAGGTCTGGGAGCTGTGGGTGTGGGCCGAGGGCGGGGGGGTGTGGGTGTGGGCTGAGGGCGGGGGGGGTGTGGGTGTGGACTGAGGGCGGGGAGGTGTGGGTGTGGACTGAGGGCGGGGAGGTGTGGGTGTGGACTGAGGGCGGGGAGGTGTGGGTGTGGGCTGAGGGCGGGGATGTTAAGGTGAAGGGAGGTTAAGACAAGATGAGGTCAGGGATTGTTTTAAATTTTATAGTGTAAATAATTTAACAAATGGGGGGAGCAATGCTGAGCTTAGCTTGATTCTATTCAATGGCATTGTAGCGTTTAAAAGATAGAGACCTACACTGTCTTCTAATGTGTGTGTTTCTTAAACAATTAGTGTAAGATCCCTGAAGCTCTTGAGGCATTGCACGTAGTTGGTATGAGTGGGACATGTTCACAAATCCTGTCATTTATGCTTTGAGATATTTGACCTATATACACTACTTCTTTGTTGGCTCATTTCTGTGTTGCAGAACTATACTATAGACAGTACAATGTAATTTAAAAAATCCGTAAATGCTATAGTAATTAGTGTTCTGGTCATTGCTTTATTAACATTGGCTCAAAGGATTGGCATGGGTAGAATTTGTTGCACTGTATATTTCTCATCTTTATTCAAGACTTGCGTACAGTGAACATTTCTGATTCATTATGCTGAGCCTGTATAAAATTTGACTATTTATATTTGAAAATATAGTTAATAATTAAAATAAATTTTATTTGCTTTTTTCATATAGGAAGGAATAATTTAAGAAATGAGGTAGTGTTGGCAGTGTGGTGCAGGAGGAGAATATTTTGCATGTTATTTGCTCCGAGTGTTGTTTTTCTTCTGGAAAGGTGGGGAAAGGGGGACATTAGATGTAATGTATCTGACTTGTAATCATTATTTGTGAAAACAAATTGCACATAAAGCTGATTCGGTTCATATAGTGAAATGTAGTTGGGAGTTGCTAGATGTAAATCATTAAATATTTATTTAATGTATGGGAAGAGTCCATTAATGTTACATTTACTGGAACCATATGTTGAAATTCCAAATAATTAATTAACTTTGAATAAATGTAGTGCTACAGACCATAGCTATATATTATTAACTAAACTTGGTAAATAAAAGTTTTGTATCAATTAACATGCATCAGACACATTTTATCATCGTGTAATCAGATCTTTTAGTTTATTTAAAGTCCATTATTTAGTAAACTCGTGTGTTTTGTTTTGCCGTTACTTCAATGATTTGTTTGCCGAGCAGTCATCAATTTTTCCTCTGTTTACGTGGTGCAGGTGTGTAATAACCTCACTTGTGTGATCGCTTCGTGAGCTTGCTGAATGCCTCGGCAAATTTTTCAAATGCCCTTTCATATTTTCCGTGTTATGAGAGGGCAGGATCATCTTGATATTTTTAGTGAAATCAATGCTATGAACAAAACAAAATAAATTCTAATATTTATAAATACTGTACTGTACTCTACAGTAGCTGAAAAGTATGGAAATTACGTAGCCAGCATGAACTGTTAACTCATCATTATAAATCCACTTTTTGCAGATTTGTAAAGTTATTTAGTTTGTGTTTTTATATAATACCATCCCATAATTCTTTTTAAATTAGATTTTTTTGAAATTTGCTTTACCTTTTTTTTTATCAACACTGAAGCGTTATCATTTATCTTTAGTTATCCAAGGCTGCACTGTGACCTCTGCTATACTGTCAGTTATCCATGGCTGCACTGTGACCTCTGCTATACTACTAGTCATCAATTTACATCAGTAATGTCACAAACTTTTAATCATAGTATCTTACAAGAAAGTCCTAAACATTCTGCAGTCAAACCTTGTGTATTTGTTGCTCTAAACATCCAAATAATGTGATCAAGGAATTACCTACTTAAATATGTAGTTATAAATACTGTTACTTTTTTATAGATTTGCTGTAGTTGCAGAACTGCCGGCTAAAATAGGTATTCACTCCCACAATATCGTTTATAAGAGAGAAGTTGTGTTGCATAAAAACTGCCCACGTGTCCAGCTAGCTACAAAGTTATATAATCAGTCTTGTGTAATAACTTTCAGCACTACCACTGTAGGCCACATAGACACCTTATCTGTGTCTATTAATTACATCATACTATATAGTGTAGTTACCTTGTGTTTTTTTTATTCTATTATTCTACTGCCTCTGTCCTTGATGGTACTAAATATACTATTGTGTGAGCATGCATTTTGAGCTATGTACCCCCCCACAATTCACCATTTGTCATTGATCCTTCTAAAGGACTTGCTGAAGGACATCCCCCATTTTTCTATAGTTTACCATCCTGTAATTTTATCTACCTCTGAACCTATTGTGCATCCTTCTCTCCTCTATGCTGACCACTGTTAGCCAGACAATTTCTGTGATTATAATCACAGTATTTAGCCCTCGGTTCACCTGCCTTCAGTGATGCCCTCTCTTTAACATTTAAACAATGAACTCAAGAATCGAGGCTACTGCAAACAGCCTATTGGCTCGTGTGAGGCACATGCTGGTTGATGCCTGGTTGATGGGGTTCTGGGAGTTCTTCTACTCCCCAAGCCCGGCCCGAGGCCAGACTTGACTTGAGAGTTTGGTCCACCAGGCTGTTGCTTGGAGCGGCCCGCAGGCCCACATACCCACCACAGCCCGGTTGGTCCGGCACTCCTTGAAGGAAACAATTTAGTTTCCTCTTGAAGATGTCCACGGTTGTTCCTGCAATATTTCTGATGCTCGCTTTTTCTGATGCTATTGGCTCGTGTGAGACATCCTATTTATATCCAACTAAACTCGGGACTGGATTAGGGAGGATTCTTAAATCTGTCGTTTTTAACCATCACCAAATATTTGGGATTTTTCTTGTCTCAAATTATTTCTTAGTGTCCCTTGAGATCCTTTGTCCATCAATAGAATTCTTAGTGAATCTGATGCTTTCAGTAACATTTGCCAAGACTGATGGT